TATGCTGGGCCAGGGACACAGCTTAGTGGCACAAGTGGCTTCCTGGTAAATGCAAGGTCCTGGGTTCAATTTCTAATACCCCCCTGGGTTCAATTTCTAAAACATATGTCTATGTTTTCTTAAAGCAAAAGAAAGTATCTCAGATACTTAATCCTAATACTAGTATGATAGATTACTAAACAGATAAGAGAGCTAGGGATGCAGCTCTAGTACAGTGCTTGCCTAACACAGGGCCCAGGGTTCACCTCTCGGTACCACACAAAAAAAAGCTGGAGTGAGTGCAAAAATTAAACTAAACCGGTGAGATTTACTCAAGTAAAATTTCCAACTGGCCACAGTAATGTTCTAGAGCAGAAATTATCCTAGGCTGGGGCCAGGGATATAGCTCAGCAGCATAAGTACCTGTGCATAGCAAGTGCAAGGTCCTGAGTTAGGGGAGGGAGGGGAGAAGAGGGGGAGGGGAGGGGAGGGGAATGAATTCTAATCTGCTAATTATGTAAGGGCGCGAAATATCCCAAACCCTAAGCACTAATAAAAGCAACACACTTGTTATTGCTTACCAGCATATATCTAGGTGTCCCCCCCTAAAACCTCATATGCTCATATGTGGGGCTTTTGGGAGGTGGCTGGATCATGATTATGGGTGCATAACAGACACATCCACCACTGGTTTAGCACAGACCTGGGTTAAACTAAAGGGATTTACTGAACATAGAAAAGCTACCTGGGTGTGAATGGCATCAACCATAGGCTTATAGCCTAGATGGGCTAAAACAGAAAAAAAAAAGAGGGCTCGCTGCCTCCTGCCCGCCCTGCCTGGGGTGTTTCTCCTCTATGCTTCCCTTCTGCCATGCTGCCCCCTGCCTTGGAGCCAGACTGTAGAATGAAACCTCCATAAGCTGTAAACTGGAACCTCTGCAAATCTTTGCTCCTTTAACTTCTAGGTGTTTGGTATTCTGTTCCAGCTTTGTGAAAAGTAACCAAGCAGATATTGGTACCACAGAAGTGGGGTCATCCTGTGACACTACCTAGAAATATGGCTCAGAAGCCTTTAGAGCTGGCTTGGGCTACGTTTGGAAAATTTGGAGATGCTGACTAGAGAAGCAGTCCTGGAAAGCTGTGAACTGAGTTTGATGGGATTTTCTGGTCACAGCTCACACGAGCAGAAGGCTGACAGAAAGGCAGCTGGTAAAGAGCAGGCCAAGGAGGTTTCAGCTGGAAATAAGGACTGTATGGACAATTGGGCTGACACCATCTTTACTTCCCCTTTTCAAAAATTTAATTATTTTTTCGGGACCTTGGGATTGCCATGCAGGTGCTTTATGCCACTGAACTATCTCCCTGGCAATTCCTTTATCTATACAGTCTCCATTTAGTATTCCTCTTCCTCCAATTAATCTCAAGATTTTCCTTGCCTACAGGTAGCTTATAAATCCTTCGCCTTTACGTCCACCATGCAAAAACTGATGTGAGTCTACTGCTTTCCTTAATGTGGTAAAACATCTGTTACCAATTACTTGCTAAAATCATCACTCCTGATTTCTTTAAAACACCCAACATCATATTCTGGCATTGGCTTAGCCTATTCCAACCCATTTCCAAATAGTTTAATGTTCACAAAGTCTTAGGTTTCATCCTCCATATATTTTACTTACCTACTACTTGGATTTTCCTCCATTTAATTCTTTAACACCAACATCCAGGGAGAAGAACAGAGCTCAGGGACTATGAACAACGGCAGGGGCCACAAGTGCTCTGGGTACTAATCCTTTCTTTTTTTTTGGGGGGGGGTACAAATCCTGACACCACCATTTACGTAATCTTGAACAATTTATTACTCAACTATCAATTTCATGACTACAACAATCTACTAGGGCTTTCTGTGAATGTGAAATGGGATATAAATGGTACAGCTTTACAGGGTGCTTTTGTTTAAGACATGGCAGGTGATCACCAAAATCAGGTATTGTAATTTGAAGTGAGAGCAGTTGCTAGGAATCTAATCCAGGGTCTCTCATAGGCAAGACAGACACAATGCCAAGGAGTTATATCCCTGGGTCTCAGTTGTAATTTTTTAAACCATTAACATGTACTTGCTATCGACTCTGTAGGTAGAACTCCAGAGCTTACAATCCTAACTAGCTAGCCTGTTTTATCCTGGAGATGTTCTCCACATCTCAAACCATTCTTTCTAAACTCTGTAGCTTTTCCACAAGTAAATTAGAAATTATTGCTTCCAGAGTCAGTCCCAAGTCACCTCCTCTCCGAAGTGTTTCCACCTTCCTTCACATTCATAACACAACCTGTGCACAATGCTGCTACAGTCCCATGACAGAACTGTCTTATTGGTTACACAACTTAGGGCCAGAAGTGGTGGTGCACCCCTATAATCCCAGCACCAGGGAGGCAGGTAGGAGGATTGCTAGAATTCAAAGTCAATCTAAACTACACAATGAATTCAAGATCAACTACAAAGTTAGACCCTGCCTCAGAAAAAAGTAAGACAGTCCTGAGGATATAGCTCAGTGACACAGCACCTGCCTGGTGAGTAGAAGGTCTTAAATTTGATTCCCAGTACCAAAAATAAAAAAACACAACTTGGAGACAAAATAAAGGTTCTTTAAAAAAAAAAATTGGCCAGCCAAATAGATCAGCAGAATAAAGCACCTGCATGCAGGCACAACGGCCAGGGGTTCAGGAGGTTCAATTCCCAGGCCTGCCATGCCAGCCAAA